ATGCCTATGAAGAAGCAAGAAGTCTACTTTGACATTATGAGTGCAGCAGGTCATACATTGCAGGGATAGATGTCCGCATCTAAGTCATTGCACACCGACTCCTTCTCCCTTAAGTCAACTGATAAGTCCGGGTTACAAGTTGGGTTTAATTTTGGGTTAGGAGAGGGGGAGCTGCACATTTCTCAAATGCTGACATTGATGCCAGTGAAAAAGGGAACCTAGGAATATCATGATCATTTATTAAGTTATTATTAAGTTATTCACAGCTGTATTTAATAAAAACATAACGTTACCTGATCCATGCCAAGTATTGTGTGTCTTTAATTCCTTCCATTCATTGTTCTCTTTGTCAGTCAGTTGCTTGATAACCACCTCATACCCCTCCAAATATGGGGCACTGTGCATCAAAGATACAGTAAAAATTATTCCTTCAAAACTTTTCTTGTAATCCAGATCTGGTGGGCCATCATGAGATATTTCAATAACACTGCTAACCAATATCTCATCACTGGCAGTGGAGGGGGAGAGGGTCCTGGGGTTCCACAATAAGCATCTACATGCAAATGGCACAGGTTGTTGTACAGCTCCACTGCAAAGTTTGATAGAGGCACCAGCTTCCCTCAGGTGCCATGAGTCTTCCTTACCTCCGATTTTTCCTCTGAAATACAAAGGAAATTAATTATCCAGCATTTTAAGATATTTTTCCCAAGTGGAGTAAGCAATGACAAAGGTATTTAAAATGCAAGTGGCAAACTGGCAGTTTGAAAAACTCATTTAGATATTGACACTTAATTTCAAAACTAGATCTAATAAATGTTATTTTTCTTTATTTTTCTTTTCTTTTCCATTAGTTTGCTTTTCCTTGACTCAAATAGCCTCAAGTTATAATCATAAATCAAAACATTTATTTAAATGATTCACTATCATTTTTCATAATAATTAAGTACCCCTTTATTGATGGAAACACTGAAAAAAAATGTTGAATACCTGTAGAACATGGTAATTGAACTGGGTGGAGTAAACTTTGTTCTGAAATCATACGCGTGACATCTGAATCAAAGGGTTGTGCAGCAGCATTAGACTTGAAATCACCAGTATGATTTCAGACCAAAAGTGCATGGCAAAAGTTCAATTACCACTTCATTACATTTATTTTAAATTTCCAAATTCAGTTGCTAAATGAATAAAGATTTTTTTAAAGCCGGTACAAATACATGTATGTTATTTATCCAGTACTGAGCTGGTGTGTAAAATGTTATAAAAGTTGTCTTTCTTTTTTTCTGCAATTTGATTGATTTCCTAAAACAATCGGTTAAATCTAATTTGTTGCTGTACTTTCGTGAAGCTTTCTCATTAGCTGGGAAATCGATGTACTTTAGAGCAAAAAATAGTGCATTTTATCAATAAATCGTGCCAATGAGAACCAATCAGATTGCAAGGATCACCAGTGATTTGAGCACGAATGTAATAAATTTTTAATAGCATTACAGTTATTAAGCATGAACTTTATTATCTAAAGATTAAAAAGAAAATAAAATAAAAGAAAGTAACTGTCATTTATAAAGAGGTCCGGAGGGTTGTTCTTTAGTCAGAGCACTTTGTCAAAAGTTGCCATTAGTTAACACCTCCTAGCAACTCCAACCCTGCTCTTTACAATGGTCTGTGCATCCATGAGAAAAAAACATGGGAAAGGCAAAAAACTGAGTCATTGCAGAAAAACCCATACCTTTTGATCAAAGTCTTTCCATTGTCTTCAGTGTCTACTGTTGCATCTTCTATATCTGCCAAATCTTTCCTGCCGGTGTAATAAGGTACCTCATCCTCCTCTTTGGCTGGGGAAATTATTATTTTGAGGTGTTTGGTTTCAGTATACAATATAACGGACATTTACTACCACTTAATTCCCAATATCTGTTCAACCAAAATTGTTCAACATGGGGTCTTTCCATACTAACAAAAAAAGTTGTTCATTTAAAACGATTTTTTCGTCATCACTAAATTTTGACAAATTTTGGCCAAGGCCGACAAATCGTGAAACACATCGCCGACAAATTTGTCCCAAGTAAAATCTGGACAAAATTAATTAAATAAGCAAGACCGTGATAAACTTGTCGATTAATTATCGCAAAAGCTACGAACAGCGTGTAGCCGAACTGAAATCAGGTTACTACAGAGGCAAAAATTCTCTTTTGTCGCAAAACTCTGGGATTCTAAAATTTTAAAACGGCTTTGAAAAATCCTAGAAATTGGAGGTGGAATCCTTTGGCAGACTAGGTCGAGCGGTAAGAGAATTTTCAACTTTGAAATTTATAATGTAGATGTAACACTCAAATAAACTTTTGTCCTTTGATTTTGCCAGGACAATTTTAGGCTGGAGTCATGAAAATCGCGAAAGCTCGGATATGCATTGATTAAGAGTATAAGATAAGATTACCGTATGACTCTCCTTCTCCAGCTTTGTTTCCCACTTCTTTTGCAATTTGTAGATGACGCTCACAGTACTCGATTACCTTAGGAAAGTTGCCTAGGCTATGAAAGGCATTGCCAAGACTTCCATAGGCCCGTCTCTCTCCAGCTTTGTCTCCCACTTCTTTTGCAATTTGTAGATGAAGCT